AGCAAATAAAGCCTTCCAGCTCAGGTCTACAGATTCCATAAAAGCCAAAGTTCAGTAGTCATTGAAATCCTTCCTTTTGCCTAGAAGGATCTCAGGGATGGTGTATGTGTTTTTCCTCAGTGCACCACACTTCTTGAGCATCCCCTCCTCTGCAGCCTTTCCCTTCTCCCCCTCCTCCCCCATGGCAGATGTTGTGGTCTCATTTGATTGCATAGGAAAACTGCAGTGATACAGCAAACACCCAGAGAGATATGATGACAAATGGGTCCAGATCCCGGTAAATTACTTTCTGCTCAAATCGAAATTTCATTCAGTTTGTTGCTAGCAGAGATGAAGTAATCTAAATTGTGGACTCAGGAGCAGATAGAGGGAAGTTGGAGCAAGCATTTCATTATCAAGAGAGAGAGAAGGTTAGGATGAAAGAGATGAGCAGAGGCAAATCTTAAGTGTTGACACCATGATTGAAAAGGTTAACCCATACACATTATATATCAACCTGGCTAGCAGAGAGTTTCTAATGGAAAGTCTGCACTGATGGAGGTTTACCGAGTTCCAATACGCTGAGCATGATGTCTTCTTAGATATACAATCAAATCCTCTTAACCCTTTTGATGACTCATATCTGAAGATATGATTAAAGTACAAAAGAGTTCTTCATATAATTTCAAGGACACAATGCATTTAAACTCCAGTCATGAATTGTATCTTTCTCTCTCTCACTCTCTCTCTTTTTTATGATGAACCCAGTAATCTGATAAAATGTGTGTAGAACAGAATTGTTTTGTGTTTGCCAGAGGTAGAAGCCAATATTTTGATTAACTCTGGGGTGTCCTCTTCCTCTGCTGTAGGCAGAAGTTAGCTGGCCTCCCCCAAAAGGATTATGTAAATCACACAGAAAATTTGCGGTTGGAGTTCTGAGGACTCAGCTTCTGTTGAATAATATTCCAGAAAGGAAGGCCAGCTGTCTGTCTTTCCCTTCTTTTTCTTAGGGTTGGGATTACTTACCGGTGCCAACCATCATTCTTTGTTTCAGGTTATTTGGGAATAGCGGTGCTTGCAGCGCCTGTGGACAGTCCATTCCTGCGAGTGAACTCGTCATGAGGGCTCAAGGCAACGTGTATCATCTCAAGGTAGTGTTTGTGGGTCTGTTTAAAACACCATACCGTTTCTATTTCGCAGTGCCAGTTGTGTCTTCAAGTCACAGCCACTGGACACCTTGATTGACACAGTATTGGGCAGCTGTGGCTGCCCGGGCACAGGAGTGAATGCACACACAGCTCCCTTCAGCACACAAGTCTCTTTCCTTCTTTCAGACTGTCCAGTGTATTGTGTCTGGGCTGTGTTTTGCCCGGGCACAGGAGTGAATGCGCACACAGCTCCCTTCAGCACACAAGTGTGTTGTCTCTTTCCTTCTTTCAGACTGTCCAGTGTATTGTGTCTGGGCTGTGTTGTACTTGACAGGTACTCGCTTAAAAGCTGCTTATAAAGTTGTACTTGTGTTCAGTGGGTGTCTTTTCCTTTTCAGTGTTTTACGTGCTCTACCTGCCGGAATCGCCTGGTCCCGGGAGATCGGTTTCACTACATCAATGGCAGTTTATTCTGTGAACACGATAGACCCACAGCCCTCATCAATGGCCATCTGAATTCACTTCAGAGCAATCCACTACTGCCAGACCAGAAGGTGAATACCAGCAGTTCTTAATAAGCTTCATTAGAACAGGTTGGCGAGCTGAGCCTGGGGAAGGGTGTGAGCGTTCCAAGGTGGTTCTAGTTTTATGTCTTCTTTTAGAGAATGCACAGTGGTCTCATACAAGGAGTGTTCAGGAGCGCTATAGCAAGCTGCCGGTAAATTTGCCGGTAAAATGTCATTGTTATTTTTGAATTGATTCCTCATCTGTAGCTTCAGCCCTATTGAACGTAGGGGAGCTATCCCTATGCAAAGACAAGCAAGGCACAAAGCTTCCCTGTGACTGGTTGCCGATTCCATTTGTGAGCTTTGGGCTTGAAGAGTAATGTATTAGGGTGTTGTGGGAGGACAATTTAAAAAGTATTGTTGGGAAAGGAGGAGAAATGCTTTCTGTTGTGAAGAGATGATGTCTACATTTGTGGTAGGGATCCCGAGTCCTGTCTAAAAATGAGAGAGTGCTGCAGCGGCTCCAAAAGGAGCGGTTGGACCAGACATCCTGTGGTTCCCGAGGAAAGCATTTCGCTGATTGGTAGCTTCATGGAGTTTGAATAAGTTACTCCTCTGGAAACAAAGTTGTTGCTCTTGCTAACCACCTCGTGCCACTAACGGTCCCATTAAGGGCGATGTATCCTGAGTCTTGGCCCACAGCTTGAAAGTTCTTGGGCCTGACTTAGAAATGAGAAAATTATACAAGTATACAAATCACGTAGTATTAGAAGGCACTTTAGAAGGAAAATTGGTGATCAACAGTTGTCCAGCACCCCCAGCCTTGGATAGTTTTAGATCTATTTTAATCTCCTTAGTAAGTCCTATAGCTATGCAAGTGAGTGCATTTTGATAACTGCTGTGCCTAATTTGTAACAATTACTGTCAACCTTCAGTTAAGAGCCTGTTCATTCCACCCTGGCCTAGAAAAAGAGTGAAATGTATGACTCGTGTGCATAATTTTATTCACATCATATTTCATACTGATTATGTATTGATGACATTGATTCATTTACTCTTTACAGCGCCACTTGCATGGATATTAAATCTTATTGACCACAGATGAATTTTAATTTCAGATTGGTGATAGATTTTTCCATCAGCTCTGATAGTGTGTTTGACTTTTTCATCATTAACCCAGGCAATCACACAGCACTGAGTTATTGCATTGAAACAAAAAGTGCACACTTCACTTGCTAATTCCTTATGGATTTGCAATGGGGACTCCATTCATGTCTATTGTAAGGATCACACACATGTCCACACAAAACCAGAAACATTTATCTGCAGATGGAAATTTAGCAAGCTTCCGAAGTCTAGGGGGAAAATATTAGGCCTTTGTCTTCTCCCATAATGCACTTTCTTCTTGCTAAGTGGGGAAAGGACACGTGCGTAGACATTTTGACTATCTAAAATTATGCTGCTGTGTTTGAATGCTCGTGTTCGCTCTTCTCCCTTACTTAGGTTTATGGGGTAACTTAAAATGTTTTCTTTATTTAGTAAGTGTTAATTACATGAGATTGTGCAGTTTTATTTAATTTACTAATAGGGGAGGAATACAGAATAACCATTTAAGAGTCAGAATTTTAGATTTTTTTATTGCAAATTAGCCAGTTACCTCATCCAATGTGTGGTGGCCTCTTTAAGCATGGCCCAGCACCAGAGTCACTTACAGGTTTTTATAATTTCAGTTTTAATGAAGTCAATCTATAGACATGGTTGAGAGCAACACATGGCTAACATAAATATTTTGAGAGTCACACTTTGAACTTGAGGCAAGGCCATCTATAATTATAGTAGTGCTACAAATAAGATGGTGAATCCCACCCCGCCTTTTGAATGTAAAAGCTTAACACTCTCCCAGTGTGTGTCTTAATGTGCTATGTTGCTAGTTTTATGCTATTTCCTGACTTGGTAAATTATTTTTAAAAAAGGATTGCAAGTTACTCCAACATGCATGGTGAGAAGGGCAGGATGGAGAGAGGAGATGGGTGGAGTTTAAGATTGTGAAGACGAGCACAGTGCCCATGCTAGGACTAAGAACAAAGCGCACTTTGGAATGTGAGCAGGACCCCAATGTGTGTATAAGGCGATGTCAGTGAGGGGTGTCAGGAGGTGGAAGGTACTTGGTTTGTGTTTACAGGATTGCCTGTGTTGCGCCTTCCACGGGAGGTGGCTGCTCTCCACACCTTGTTCAGGATGGGAGTTGTAAGGTGTTCGTATTGGAACACAAAATATGGTTTGGGCAATGATGGAGGACCTGCTAGTGTGTGCGTTTGCTTGATGTTGGAAGGTCTCTCCCTCCTAAAACAGAGGGAGACAGGTGGCCTGCAAAAATTAATTACACAGAAGAGGCATAAGGAAATAAAACTTAAGGAACTGATCTTGTCAGGCGCTGGCGAGATGCTGTGTTTCGGGGGGTGTTAATTAAGCACATTCCCCGTTTGGCATGAGTGTCTCCCATTTTTGCCCTTGGTGTTCTGCTCACCATGAGTACAGTCAATTCACAAGGTAGTTTCTGTAAATAAAGGTTCTGGGCAAGCTGAATGTGGTCCAGAGAGGTATTAATGAGAGGGCAAGAGGGAAGAGTTAATGAAAACACACTTCCTAGGGGAACATGAACTGCTTTTTGGAGAATGCTTTAAAATGATTTTCCCCAAACCCTGTGGCGTTTCTTTTCTACGGGAGATGAGATGAGGAGAAATGACAAATAGTCCCATTTTATTATTTTCTTTTTTCTCGTTCTCCGTGTTTGGGGGTTGAGAAAATTGGATATTTATTTTGGCCATTTTCCTTCCATTCGCAGAACCAATTACATTTTAGTGCATGATGCATAGTAAATATATTTAGCTATCCTCTGTCTTAGAAATAATGAGTTGATTATTTGTATGGCCCTTTAAAGGCAGTGCACTGTATGGGAGGTATGAGACCCCCATCATCTGGTCCTTTTAGACCTCTGTTCTCCTGAAATGTATCTGAGGTTTTTCCAGCATGTGCCACTCAGTTACTGTGCTGTGGCACTGGCTTTTGTATATTCTGAGGAAAATAAGTCAAGAATTTCAAGTGAAATCTCATATTGCCTGAAGTGTGGGTCCTGAGATGTTTGATGGCTTCTGTCATTTGGAGGAGACTTGGCCAGTCTCAAAACAGTGGTGTTTTCCAAAATATTAGAAAAATCAGAAATGGAAGTTCATTTTTTCCCCCTTGTAGATAGAGCCCTGCCTGCTCTGGAATGTTTTCTTCCACTCAAAGGTGTAAGGGGAACTTCTAGAATTTTCTGTGCTTCAGTCAGAGGAAGATTTAGCAAAGCCTTCGAGGTTACTTCACGTTTCCCCATAGTTACGTAATTGGTGTTGTGTGCGTCCATCGTAGAGGACATTTGCTCATTTATTAAATATGCTTGCTGGCTGCTGGGGCATCTTTGTTCTGGACAGACAAATTACCTTTCTCACACTGAGCTTCCACTCTGGGGAGCTGAGCCTCCACCACTTTAATTAGCTTGGAAGTGGGGGTTGGAGACTCAGGCCTACCTTTGGTAAGTTAGGGAAGGGTGAAAGCAAGAACTTCCTGAAATGCTCCCAATGTCATTTTTGAAAAACCCTCAAAACCAGTAGACGTTCTTCCATTTTGGTGATTGCAAACAGACTGTGTTTGGCGGCTGTGCATTGCTATTTCCACTTCAGGTGTTGGAGTTGGGCTTCCCATTGGGCTGTGCTCTTCCTCAGTCCATCTAGGATCATTCGTGCATCACACGTATTGATTTTTATTCCTGTAATGTTTATGTCACATACATGACAAAGGCAGGGAACTGTGAGAACAACAACAACAACAACAACAAAAAAACAAAAAAACAAAAAAAAAAAGCAAAACTTGTATATTTGAACATAGAACTTGTCACATACATGCCCTAGAGGGAGAAACCAGTATGGATGAAGGGTTGTCATTTGAAGACTACAGAATAATAATGCCATCTCATTTATATCTCAGTAACAGCCTTGTTACCCCTACTTTGAAGGGGAGGAAACTGACACAGTTTAAGTCACTTGCCACAGGTGGCGAAATGGAGCCCATAAAACCCAAAACTTCTTAGGGACCTTGCTCTGAATGGCCCTGTGGTTGTTTTAAAAGCCCAGGATTCCCCTATGAGGAGAGACCTCTAATTGATTCCGTTTGGAGAGAAACTCCCTTTAACGGGGTTCAAGGACAGTAGAAGTCTACAGCTGGGGGTTCTCGGAGTTCATTTACCATCTCATTTTCTCTGCTAGTAAAACATGTTCTGCTCCTGAGCAAGGCGCACAGAGAGCCTCCATCAAGTCACAGTTGGAAAGTAATCTAATAAAAGAAGATTAGTGAGTGGAGAGACAGCAAAAGCTGTGGTGTTTGACTCTAATACCTCTCAAATTTAGCATTTTAGCTAAGATGCCCATTTTTATTTCTTGCAGGTCTGCTGAAAGGTCAGAGTAATGCAGAGTGCGTGCCTTCATCTCAGATTTTCTTCATCACAGGTGGATCCCATGTGTCTTCAGTAGACCAGTCACCTTTGTAGCCAGCACCAGTGCCAGCCCCTTGTCATCGCACCTTCTTTAGTCTTGAGTGCCCTTTCTGCATTTATGATGTATTAAAATGACTGAATATGAACATTAAGGACTCCATGAACCTGGGCTAATGGGAGATGGTAGCGAAAAGGAAAAAAGATCCACCGAAGGACATCTTTGGGGGGGGAGGGTGCCTGGGGGAGGGAAATGACTAATGAACCTAATTAAAAGAAGCATCGGAATCCGCTTTCTACCCTCATTAACAATTAGCAGGGCACCGGCCAGAGTGTGTACCCTGTGTTTTACCTTAACAACATTCTGTTTGCTCTTTGTATATTTAAGTGTTGTAATGAAATGTGTTTCAATCAAACTGAACATGAGTTAAAGGAAAAAGAGATGTGGCTTTTGTGATATTATATCACGAACACTTTTATTGTAACTCTGTAAAATACAATGTATGTATGCATGTGAGTGTTCTTGTTTCGATGTTGCTCCACCCCTGGCAAAGGTTAAAAAGAAAAGAAAAGAAAAAAAAATACAAAAAAAGAAAAAAAAAGGAAAAAAAAAGAATCAGGCTCATAGCCGCTACTATGTAGAAATTCCCCCACTTCTAATTTGCTGAATGAAGAAAAAAAAATCTTTTATTTGTGATATTTTCAGAGACATTTGCTCTAGTATGGTGTATTTAAATAATAAAAACTTAAAAGAAAAATATTTAACAGAGTTTGGGTTTAAACGCTGCTTTTTCTCTTCTGTATTTTGGAAAAATATGTGCTGTTTTTGTTGTTGTCTATAACAAACATTTAAAATTTGGGGGTGGGGGGTGAGGGTGGGGCTGATACTTGTATGAAGATCCAGGCTATAAAGTAGTCCTCTGATTATTTAACCATGCACTATAACAAATATTTAAAATTTGGGGGTGGGGGTGAGGGTGGGGCTGATACCTGTATTTAGCTCCAGGCTATAAAGTAGTCCTCTGATTATTTAACCATGCCATTTTAAGCTAAGAATGTCATTTTACCAGCACTCTGCATCAGTCTTTGGTGTGTAGACATGGATATTAGTTGACTGTTTCAGCTTTGCTCCCAGTAGGATAGCCTTGGGTACTGGTCACAGGCACGTTAAAAACTAAGCGCAACCATTTCTCATGTCAGGTTTTGTGGCTTTTGAAGGCAATAGCATTTCTGGAGCCATCTGTGTGTAATCTGAAGTCCCACTAGTTTAGTGACACTGGAGCTCACTCTAGACATAGTGGTCTTGGATGGGCAAAGCAGCATTGTTTCCTGAGCTTCTTCACTGATGCCTTTTTCTTGTGTTTACTGGGGGAGGGTTCAAGTCGCCTTCAGTCTCGAGGTAGTTGCTGCTCCTAGTTGCTAATCTTAAAGAGTCTCCACCACAGTGCCTGCAGTGCCCACAGAGGTTCCTACAGAAGGTGTGGAGTTCCATGCTTCAGTAGCTGCCCTGTTCCTACTGGGCCAAGCAAGAGTCAAATGGGCTTGGATGCCAGGGTGGCACCATGGCTGGTTATATGAGCGCAGACCTCAGCTGCAGCCTCACAGGCTGCTGGCACCTGGGCCTTCGTGCTGCTAATGCTGCTTTCTGAAAATAGGGTTTTATTTTGTTTGAGTGAACCTCCTAATGAAGACCCTGCTAACTTCTTGCTTCCAAAGATTCCAAACCAAGAGGAAAAGTTGGTTGTTGAAACTGCAGACATCCTGTGGGAGAATTTAAAGGTAGAATATTAAGGTCAATCATTTGCCTTCGTCTTGTAAAAAGAAAATGCAAGGAGGACAACACAAGATAAATACATATGTGTACATGCACACACGCACACATACACATACACACACAATATACATACACACATACACACAGACACATACACACACATGTACACAGACACACACACAGACACACACACATACTCACAGACACGCACATATACACACAAACATACACACACATATACACACACACAGACACACACATACATAGACACATGCACACACACACACATACATAGACACACACACAGATTCACAGACACACACACACACATACACACACATATACACACAGACACACACACATACTCACAGACACGCACATATACACACAAACATACACACACATATACACACACACAGACACACACATACATAGACACATGCACACACACACACATACATAGACACACACACAGATTCACAGACACACACACACACATACACACACATATACACACAGACACACACAAACAGACACATGCACACACACACAGACACACACACACACATAGACACATGCACACACACACACATACATAGACACACACATACACAGATACACAGACACATACACACACACACATACACACACATATACACACAGACACACACAAACAGACACATGCACACACACACAGACACACACACACACACACACAAAGACACACACACACACACAAAGACACACACACACACACTACCTGAGGTGGATCCCTGGAGAATTTCTCTAAACTTGCTCTGATTTTAACTACTCCCTTTTTCTCCTTAAGATACTTTCTGAAATAATTTGGTCTGTTCCGGTGGGGAGGAGGAGGAGGTGTTGTTCAGAGGACTGCGGATGACTAACAGACATCTATGTTTTTAGCAAAAGCACTCATGTCACATGTAATGTGTAATTCAAAGGACGCGGCTAATAACTTTTAGTAATACAGCATGGCGTTCAGTGACGGAGAGGGCAAAGGTCATTACCGCCTTTTAAATGAACTATTATATGGCTGGCCCCTCAAGCACTGTGGCGTATTTCCTAACGAGCTTCTAAAAGCATTTCTTAAGTTGCAGACCTATAAGATTACAAATGTCACTCATGTTAGTATAATCCACATGCAAGTGATGAAGCCTTCTCTTTGATGTGCTAAATTGGAGAAGGACTAATGGAGCTATGAATATACAATAGAACATATTTAAGTAGTAGTCTTGCTTTAGGTAAAACACTTTCTTGAAACCAGAGGCATTTCAAACAATAAAACCTGGCTCTAATGGGGATGCTCGATGTGGATAGACAGCTTCTAAAAACACTCAGGTTTATTCTGATATGAGCAGCGATTGTGTGCCGTTCCTCCCCCATTCCCAGCGTTCCTTGGGGAGGTGGGGAGACCCCTGAGCTTATCCGCCTTTCTTCCATTGCATATGTGGTGTGGGTGTGTTCTTCTGAAAGGACTTAACATGAAGCACGTCACACAGCCACACAGGCCGTGGTCCACACAGCATGTACAATTAAAATAAAAGCAAACATGACTGAGCCTCGCTGAACTGATAAAAAATTATGCTCATGATACATATAAATGTCTCAATCATGCAAATTGTCACTCTTGCTAATGAAACAGTTTTGTGTGAAGATTGTCCTCTAAAGGGGCTTAATATTGGGCTTTGTTTGTTTTTTACCTATCTGCCTAGACTTTCATATCCTGCAAAGCCTGAGAGCCTGAAGATATTCCAAACCAAATCATTCCCCACAAGAAACTATTTCCAGCTCTTCCTGGTTTATTAGGAAATAGTTTAACAGGGACTGTTGTATCTTATAACACAAAGTGAGGAGACTGTGACGTGGAAATGAAGCCTGTGAAATTACCAGCCTCTTAATATTAACTATATTTAAATTCTTTCTGTTGCCCTTATTCACACTGATATTTGAAACAACTAATATAAAATGAAGCTCTTAAATTAAATGTCTTTAAATGTCAATATAGTAAGATTCTAATGTGCAGTACTGGTTACATAAAATATTTCTTAGGGTCAATAAATTATGGAACAAATAGTGAATCCAAGAGCTATCTATCAAGAGCCGAGTGAAGAGTTTCCATATAGCTTAAATAATTGTTCTGAATTAAAAATGGTTGCCCAAAGAGACTTTCAGGGGCTGGGGTGGGGAGGGGTGAAGGTGGTGGCCTGTAAGTCCCATCCTGGGGCCTCACTGCCTGGCCCGAGGTTGTTGTAAATACAGATCATTTACGAGTTAATGTTCATCTAGGTTTTCTTACTGCGACTCACCTATTGTCAGTCCAGCCAAGTCACAGGAATGCTTACTGCAGTTAAAAAGCAATTTGTTTCCACGAAACTGCAATTAAAGTATTACCAAGCAGCCATTTTAGATTGGCAGTGCTCTGCAGGCATGTTAAACAGCCAGCAGCTTGCACTTGCAGAGGCTGAGATCTGACTAGCAGCTGAGGATAGCATAACACCTTCCCCGACCCAGCACCTAGTTAACTGGCCTTTGTAGCCCTCTGCTCCGCCATCGTACACTTGCCGAGAGCAACAAGGCAGGACCTATTTTTGGAAGGTGAGCTTGTAACTCACCTCAAGTGAGTAGGATTTTTGGTTGTACAGGGTGTGTTTCATGTGCATAGATGTGGAGATGTGTGCACACATCCTGGAGGGAATCATCTCAACTTCCGATTGATTCTGCTGAGAATGGACTGAACTCAGAGGCCTCAGGCCAATAATGTACCACAGGTCCTGACATGTTACAGCTGTGTAAACAGGGTCACTCTCTCTCCTAAATCACAACTAATAAGGCACAGGATGAAATATCTATTGATTCTTTTATAAGTTCTTTAAGTGGCCCTGGAAAGTCGTTTAATGATTCCAGAATGGACAAGCCACCAAAGTTCCCACTTTTCTGACCTCTCCTCAGAATTGATAGGAGGGTCTTAGTGGGCGTCAGCAGCACTACTGGCCTATCCCGACTTGCTGGGAAGAGGATACAAGGAAGGGTCAGAAAGTCTTTCTTGCTTATCTATAAAGTTGGGGCTTGCCAAGTGCTTTCACTGAAGATCCCAGACATTGGCCCTAGAGCCTTCACAGGGCATATTTCAGAAGGTGTGGACTTACTGATGAATTTTAACCAGGTTGGGGAACACTCATCAGCTAGTCCAAGCAGGAGGTGCCTCACCCTCCTTCAGCCCCGCCCCACTTATGCTTTCCCACATGTTATTTGAGCTATCATTTTTTTTTTTTGAGAAAACACTAAAGATGTGATTCCTAAATTAATTGTTATGCTTTCCCACATGTTATTTGAGCTATCGTTTTTTTTTTTTTTTTTTGAGAAAACACTAAAGATGTGATTCCTAAATTAATTGTTCATTTTCAGTGAATTGACTGTTTCAGAAACTGTAAAGCAAAAGAATCTAAGGACAAACTGAATTTCCAAATGAAGATTAATTATGGAAGCTGGACAGGAAATTGATTGCTTGGGCTGTAGCTGTTTGCCTTTTTCTTTAGAAGTTTGCTAGGGATGGGTGTGTCAGATTTTGAGCATTCTTTTAAGGCTGCTGATTCAGTGTCTCTCATCAAGCGTGGGCCTTACAGTCGCCATAAATCTCCCGTCTCTAACTAGAACACTTCCTGTAAGAATTCTATCCTGCAGTTGCATAGAGTTTGGTAAACGTGTTAACACTTACAGCACACACTCATACAGGGAGTCTCATGCAGCCTTCATGCTAGTCCTCTAATTCAGTGTTCAGTTTTACGGGATAGGGAGGTTTTGATTGTTCGCTGCTGTTTTGCAGGCCTGGTAAAATGGGGTTTTGCTCTTTAGCCCAGGTTGACTGCAAACTCTTAGTGATCCTCCTGCCTTGGCCTCTGGAATTGCAGCTGTGTGCCATTGTGCCTGGCTTGTATCACTCAGTGTTATAGATGAGTAACTGGAGGCTCTAAGAG